TCAGAATGAGGGCTATCACAGGGAGACAGATATTTAGTGCAGTTTGGAAGGAGCCTTCTAAAAATCAACTAGTCAATAATGGAACAGACTGCTTTGCAAAGTAGTGAGCTCCCTATCAAGGGAAGCATTCACACAACGGTTGGATGCCAGGGATGGAATAGATTATATTCCTGAAAAGGGTGGAATCTTGGACCAGATAAAACTATAAGGCCTCTTCTAGGTCTGAGAGTATATGACCAGATTGCACCAGACAGAATCAATTGCCTTTGATTCAATTCAACCAGTATTTGCATTTCCATTATCCGTCTGGCTCTAGGCTAGGTACTGAGATTATAAACTCCCTGAGGGCAGGCATTATGTTTTATTCATCAGAATCCCTTACATAGGCTTTGAAGAGAGTAGGGACTCCATAAATATAGGCTGACTGATTGATTGATTAAAGGCAGCTGGGATAGCCAGTGGCTGCAATTTACCAAACACAAACCACCAGATTGGGGTGGGGGGGGGGGGGGGACAACAGAGAAAATGATTTTTCCACCACGTGAAGAAATTTCCAAAGAACAGCCAGGAAAAATAAGTAAATCTCAGAAATTGTATTAAAGAGGAAAACCATTAGCTTGTACCCTATAGACTCGAGGCTTCCTTTGGCCCCTTTTTTCTATGCAATTACAAGAATTAAGTCATCCAGCATCCCACACATTCCAAGGTCAACCTCCCAGCAAGCTCAATCTCCATTCAGAGCACACAGCCCGAACCTGGAAATAAAGCTAATGAGGCCTTGGTCACACAGCCCCTCTCGGAAGATCATGTACTTTATTCCTGATGGCTGCACTCAGACCTTTGCTGACTCACTTTTAAATATGCAGTTTTAAGCATGCTTGGTTTTGTTTTTTTTCTTTTAGCCTAAACATATTAGCAGCAGAAGGGAGCATGGGTGGAGGGGCTACCAGAAACAGGTGTGACAACAGCATCCAGGGAAGAGACAGAAACACTAAAAACAGGCACAGATCTGTATTAGTGCACATTGCAATGGGCAATAGATTCACATTGATTCTATTCCATTCAGCAGACACTGATTAACCACTTCCTATGTGCAAAGCAGCATGGTGTGGTGGTGACATAGCCAGGCTAAGAATCAAGGAGACCTGGGTTCGAATTCTGTCTCTGACACATATGGTTTCATGACTCTGGGCAAGTTAATTAACTTTTCAGTGCTCCAGGAAACTCTCTGAGACTGTAAAGTTGTAACAGTCGCTGATCTGCTTTACTTTGGCAGAGGAGTTTCCTCAGCAGGACCTCCCTACACCAAGGAAATCACAGATCTAGCTTTTCGTTTTTGTTTTTTCAAATGTGCCAGGCACTGTCCTAGGTGCCAGGAATACAAAGACAAAAGCAAGTGTCCCTGATCTCAAAAACGCTTCCCTTCTACTGAGGAAGGATGTATCCCAATCATCATTTTAAAAAAAATCAAAAAGTTAAATTGTGTTCAGTGTCTTCTGTTTGTAAAATTTAGAAAGATTTTCATTCAAAATGGCTAAAATAAAGAGAGTTTCTCTTAGAAGGTGTACCAGTTATCTGGAAATTTTACTGATATAGAATACCAGATTCTCCAATGTTACTGGATAAATGATGGTTTACTGTAGCTGAACTCCACACTTCTGCCCTAGGCCCTCTTCTCTTTTCTTTTTTTTTGGGGGGGGGGCAATCATGGTTAAGTGACTTGCCTAGGATCACACAGCAAGTAAGTGTCTGAAGCCACATTTGAACTCAGGTCCTCCTGACTCCAGGGCCAACACTCGATAGAGTGTTCACTTCACCACCCAGCTGCCCCTGTCTCTTTTCTTTCCTTTGGTGTTCTCATCCACTCCCTGGAATTTTTTTTACCTCTATGCCAATGACTCCCAAGTCTGCGTCTCTACCCCCAAACCTCTCCCCCAAGCTCTAATTCCATAGTTCCAACTGCCTGCTGGACATCTCCACATGACTATCCTACCGGCAAATTCAGTCCATCAAAATCTAACCCCTTATTTCCCTTTCCCAAAGCCTCCCTCTCTCTTAATGTCTGTATGTTGCTAGCATCACCAACCTCTCAGTCACTCAGTCTCAAAACCTTTGACTCATCTTTGACTTTTTCCCTTTTCCTCCCTCTCCCACGTCCAATCAATTGTCAAGTCCTGTTGATTCTACTCCAACAACATTTCTCAAATCTGTCTCTTCCTTTCCACTCCCACTGAAATCAGCCTAAATTAGCCCCTTATCCTTTTGTATGAACCACAGTAATAACCTCCTAACTATTTCTCTGGCCTCCAGCCTCTCTCCAAACCTATTCATCCTTCCTAGCTTTGCCTAAGCAATCTTCCTACCATAGTGCTCTGATCACATCATTCCTCACTCAAAAACATCAGTCACTTTTCATAGCCTAGTAAATAAAAGACACTAATCTCTTCTCTGTCTCTTATAAAATCTGTAACCTGGGGCAAGTTACAACCTCTTTGGAGTAACTTGTAAAAATGAAAGGATTGGACTAAATGGCTCTTCCAGCTTGAAATCTTCGACCCTCCCATGGACTCTTGTGTTCTAGACTGGACTCCTATCCAGCCTCCATTCCCATCTTACCCTCTCTTCTCTCTGTATCTGTTTGTCTTTTCCTGTGGCAGAATGAGCTTTCCACCCTATACCCTTGCCATCTCAGCCTATTTAAATTTCTCCTTCATTAAGGCCTAACTCAGCTGTTCTCTATTCCATAAAACTTTCCCTAGCCTCCTTCCCCACCTCCCCAACTGCCTTAAAGTATAATGGGAACTTTCATTCCTATAATTTCACATCATTGCCCAGACCCCTCCTTTGCAGTTATTACACTCACCTTTGTATCATTATTTGTACATGTATCCTTTCTTCCCATTAGATTTTAAGCTCCTTAAATAGAGGGGGCATGTCATATCAATCTTTGTACCCCCCAGCACTTAGCCCAAAACCTTGCACATAGTATATTCTTAATTAATATTGGTCAAATGAACAATAAGTAAATATGTTTTGCATGATTGCACACGTATAACCTATATAAAATTGCTTACTGTCTCAGGGAAGGGGGAGGGAAGGAAGGGAGAGAATTTGGAACTCAATTTTTTAAAAAACCAAATGTTAAAATTGTTTTTACATGTAATTGGGGAAAAAATAAAATACTATTCAAAAAATAAATATCAGTTGAATTTTGCTTCCTAACAATGAGAACTGTCCCAAAGTGGGATGGACGACTGCCTCCAAGAAGTAATGGGTTCTCCACTCACTAAAGATCTTCAAACAAAGGCTGTTGGCAATGTTGCAGAGGGTATCCTGGGAAGGATATGGATTGGACTAGATGCCTCCTGAGGTCCTTTCCAATTCTGAGGCCTCTGCTCATTGAACTGAGTTGATTTTTCCAAATTTGATAAGAGACAAATTAAGGGGGGGGGGGTTCCTTCCCAGCCAACACTCTAGCCAAGATTCAACCAAAACATGGCCATATTTAGAATGCTGGAACACCAAGAACATTTTGCAAGTGCAGCTGGAACATTAAGCGAACAACTCAAACAGTGTTAAAGGGACCTGTCCCTCAATACCCATGGAGAGGAAGCCTTGTTTTCACACAAAGCATCCCAAAAATGTGCAACAGTAGCCAACTACTGGAATCCTGCCTATTCTTCAAGGCACATTCAAGTCAACAAGCTTTCATTAGGTGCCTACTAAGTACCAGGCACTGAGCTCCATTCTAGACATACACAGACAAAAATAATAAACAGTCTATCTGTCCTCAAGGAACTTACATCCTACTGGAGTGAGTAAATATATTGTATAAACCAATTCAAAACCAAGTGATTTCCAGGGTGGAGGGGGAGAAGGGAAGACTACTAACAATTGAGGGGATTGGAAAAGTCCTGAAAGAGGAGGTGACTCCCAAACTGAGCCAGCGATGCCAAGAGGTGGAGGAGAAGGAGAACATTTCCAAGCATGGAGGACAACTCTAGCTCTACCTCCTCAATTAAACCCCCTTCATGCTTCTCCCATCTCACCCCCAACTGGATGCAACCCCTCCTCCCAGCCTGAGCCCCCCTAGCACTTGGCTACCCCTGCCATGGCACAGAACACATTCCTTATCCCCATTATGTGTGTGCTCATCATCTTCCCATTAGTCTGTAAGCTTCCTGAGGGCAAGAAGAGTTTTTTTTAAAAACTTGGCACTTATTTGCTCTCCCTTCAATTCCTTTCCCCTAAAAACTTTTGTTTTCATTCATTTTAGTGTATCCTCTACTCTAAAGGGCCTTTCTCATGGTTAGCATTCAATGAATATTGGATGAATGAATGAATGAATAAATGAATGAATGAATGAATGAATGAATGAAATGGGCCTGAAGTAGAATAGATATCTTTTAAAAGGGTTTTGAAAACCTGGAGTACTTTTAGGGAAGCATAGGAACCTTGGGATAACAAACAGGTCCTCTAAACATCTGGTATCACCCAAAAATAGTCCAAGATAGCATCAGAGAGATTTTTTTTAATATCATACTGGAATATTCCAAATGGAGAAGGAAAAGAACAAAGAACATACTGTAATAGCAGGAATGTTCCCAAGGGTTGGGATTTTTGTTTGTTTGTTTTCTTGGTTTTTGTTTTTTAGTAACCAACCTTTAGCTCCCATAGACAAGTTGCCACAAAATTCAAAGATTTGTTACTTTGAAAGGGGAAAAAACAATTCTATAGTTTCTTAGTCCTCCTACCCAAACTTTCTGGCAATCCCATAGAAAAACACCTTTGTCCATAGGATTATATTGGCTCTTTCTGTGTATCCCATGTCTCCCGGATGTGACCAGATAGCACACTAGAGTAAAGTCTGAAGGACCCAGGGGCGAAGACATTGACTTTGGGTGACCATTTGAGGAAGTTTCAGGTGCCCAAATGGCCCCCTCCACCAATGGCAAATGGTTGAGAGGATGCTCTACTAGCCTACTGGCTACAGTCCTTACCCGCCAATGTCCTGCTTCACAAACTCTCCTGGTTCTTTCCGTTCTTGCCCAGTTCCAGTTGGGAGAGTGGCCATCATGAGGAGAAGCCCAAGGCTTATGGGAGGAATTCCTGGGAGCTTCATCTTCTCAGGGAGAAGCACAGAAAGACCTGTATGAGAAAAGCTTGAGAGCTGGAAAAAAGAGGGGGTTGGAAGAGAAGGGAAAGAAGTAGACAAGAGAAAGAAAACAGGGAGATCAATATTCAATTCCATTTGAATCTTCCTGTTTCTATGGCAGCCCACTTACCAAATTATCAGCTCCCTAGTCTCCTCTTTTCCCCAACTTGTCATCTAAAAAATGGCTTCTGACAAAGGTAATTAGATTTTGCAATCCCAATGTCACCCACTGTATTTCCAACAGGGTCCCACCAGCATGTAACCAGGTCCTTCCTTGCTCACCTAAGGAAGCTAGAGTGGGCTAATGGAGTGCCCCCTGGACTGAGAGCAGGGAGACTGAGGCACCAGCCTCATATCCACTGCCTTGAGCAAGCTAATTTCCCTCACTGGGTTTCTATTTTTTTTTCCCTGCAGAATGAGGAAGCAGATGGCCTGACATTTTGTGAAATTCATAGGCTGAGTCCACAGAACATCCAAACATTTAAGTGAAAAAGTCAGCAACCTCGGTGTTCTGCCTGTGCTAGGATAAACAGCTGGATATTTCCAAATCATGAAATGCCAGCTTAAATGAGACCCAAGTCATTCGAGGGATGACATTTTCCCCTTAAATTTGATTCTTTGTTTTTCTGTGGCTCTTGTCAGATAGAATCTTAGAATGGCTAACTCACATCATTCCCCATACTGGGCATAATGCCCTTAGCCCCAGCTCTGCCTGCTGAAATCCTACCCATCCATCCAGGAACACCACCTCCAGGAAGTCATCTCTTCCTGCTCCGGGTCAGAGCAGATTTCTTCCTTTAGGATTATAGATTTAGAGCAGTCAGAGAACTAGCCTCACTCCCTCCATAGTTAAGAAACTTGCCCAACATTACCTGGGTACTAAGTAGAGAAACCAGGATCAAACCCTACTCCTCTGACTCCAAATCCAGCATTTTCACTGCATCACAGTGCCTCCCTCTAAACTCTCAAGACACTTTATTTGTTCCCCTCTTATGGATTCAGTGCATTCTACTTTCCAGTACCATACCAATATGGTAGCATAACATGCTAATATTGGTCCAAATATAGGCTACTTCTGAGTATAAGCTTTACTCCCACAATGAGATCTCTTTATACATACATATATGTATGTGTGTACATACATATGTACATGTACATATGTAGGTGGACATACATCAAAAATAATACAATATAACTTTACAAAAATACTGCCTTATTTTTAAGACACCTTGTTTTGTTTTCTTTAAAAGATTTTTCATACAGGTATTTTAATTCACATTTTTATGTTTGTATTTATTTTTATATGTTTATATACATAGCACTTTGAGATTTGAAAAGCATTATATATAATATATATCATATATTATATAATACAAAAATATAATATAATACATATAAAATATAATATATATAAAAATGCAAATATATTTTATATATATAAAAATATATATAAAATCTAATGTGATCTTCACAACAACCCTGTGAGGTGAAGAATGCTGGTTTTTCCCCCCCAATTTTACAAATGGGGACACTGAGGCTGAGGGAGGCTAAGGGACTTCCTCAGTGCCAAAGTGTCCCAGGCGAGAGTTGAATTCAAGCCCAGGGCTCTATCCACTGTCATCTAGTTGCATCATTTTTATGTAAATTGCTTTGCAAACTAAGAATGTCAGTTATCATCCTACTTAGGACCACTCTTACCAGCCCTCCTTTACCTTGGCTAGCTAGTAAGCTCCCTGAAGTCATGAATTGTACCTTATTTGACACAGCTCAACTCAGCCCTTGTGGAAGTCCCTTTGGCTGCATCCTTTGGCTTGCCAATAATGGTACTGTAGTGGTGCCTTTGCCCCTTCGATCTCATTAGTGACCTCCCCTGTATGTAAATATTTTGGGGTTAGCTTTGGTCACATCCCCAGTTGCAGGCATACAGTATTTTGGGGCTGTTTGGGAGGGAAAAAGAGGCCTGTGATGTGTTTAGAGTCCATGGAGTATTTTAGCTAAAGTGGCCAGGGCCCAGGGGAAGGTGGGAGAGATGCTGGAGGTGCTGGCTGACCAACATGAGGCAGGCTGCAGACAGCCCCACAATTAGAAGGTGTGCCCAGCTCCCGGCCAGAATGGGGCTGCTGACAGAGGTGATGAGGAAGTTCAAGTTTGTCAGGCCAGGGATGGCTGAGTGCAGCTGAGGTGGGCTGGATCTGTCAAGAGCTGAGGAAGACAGCTCAGAGAGACAATGAGCTACCCCAGAGGGAAAGCCAAGCAGGAGCAGGCAATTTGTCTTCAGTAGCCTATGCCCCTTGGGGCAGGCTCCCTCAAAGCTCAGTCAGTGCTGGAGAGCAGACAGGATCTGAAGGAGAGAGACTGGGAGAAGGTGGAGGCCACCTGGGGCTGTGGAAGGGGACGAGCACAAGTAAGCAGGCTAAAAGCTTTTTAGATGTGTGGATGGATGGATGGATGGATGGATGGAGAGAGACAGAGAATTGAGAGAGGGGAGAGGGGGAGGGGGAGGGAGAGAGGAAGGGAGGGAGGGGGAGAGAGGGAGAGGGAGGGAGGGAGGGAGAGGGAGGGAGGGAGAGAGAGAGAGAGAGAGAGAGAGAGAGAGAGATTGAGGATATTTATTAAATGCTTACTATGTGCCAAGAGCTGAGGATACAAATCCAAGCCAAACAGCCCCTGCCCCAAGGAGCTTCCGTTCGAATGGGGCCTTTGGGAAGATCCAGGAGTCTCTAACCCAAGAGATTCTTGGTTTTTCAGCCCTATTCTTCCCACAGCCAGGGTGAGGTCCTTGGCATAGGGTGGGGGTAGCCTCCTCTGCTCATGGTGGGGTGGATGGAATTATTTAGGGTAGAGTCAGTAAAGATTAGGATCAGATAATACTTGCTGGTGGTAAGTGCTAAGGGAAGTAGATGGTAGGAAGATTCTGCCCCCCACCACACCCCAGGCTTTCTAGAGACTGTCAGGCTAGTGGGAGAATTTCCCAAAATCCTTTGGGAAAAAATCCCTAGCCTCAGTTGACTGGAATTCTGTCAGCTTAGGGAATCTTTTGAGTTAATGGGCAAGCAGCTGCCCATGACCCTTAACACCTAGCTAAGATCCATCTTAAAGGAATGAGGGTTTCTTGCCCTTTGGAGGAACGCTGGGACTTGGGATCCAGAAGGGTTGCTCAGAGACCATTTGGTTCCAAGGTTCAACCTTTGTTGTGTCCAAGACCACTTTGGCAATTTGGAGAAGCCTGGGGATTACTTTTCAGAATCGTGTTTTTAAGTACATGAAATATGTAGAGTTACAGATGAAACCAATTATGTTGACATGGAATTAGCAAGGAAAAAAAGCATGTTCATGGACCCCATGTTAAAAAAAAACCCCAATATCAAGTCCAAACCCTTCATTTTACAGATGGTGAAGCCAAGAACCAGAGAGAGGAACTGATTTGCCCAAGGTCACACAGCTAGGAAGTCATGGGAAAAGGGGGTGTGATTGGTAATTGAGGGTAGAGACAGGGTAGGGGATGGTGAGGGAAGGGGAGCCCCTGGGGATTCAGAAAGCACTGAACCTGTAAACTAGGAAGTAGGAGACAGGTGCAGAGAGGTAAATGGAAGGGATCTTTTGCCTTCTTCACAATTTTCCCCAGGGTCCATCCTGCCTTTTTTTCTCTTTTTATCTCCCTCCCAGAGACGATATCAGGAGGGTCAAGGGATTTGTGTTCAGTCATTTTAGTCATGTCTGACTCTCCACAACCCCATTTGGGGTTTTCTTGGCAAAGCTACTGGAGTGGTTTGCCATTCCCTTTCTCCAGCTCATTTTACAGATGAGGAAACTGAGGCAAATGGGGTTAAGTGACTTGCCTAGGCTCACATAGCTAAGTGTTTGAGGACAGATTTGAACTCAGGAAGACAAGTCTTCCTGATTCTAGGTCCAATGCTTTATCCACTGCAGCGCCACCTAGCTGACTGGGTCAAGGGCAATAGTCACTTAACTCCAATAAGACTCTCTTGTTCCCCAAGCCATTCTCCCTCTCTGTCTCAAATTCCTCCTCTATAAAATGAAGGTGTTCAATTCAAACCAACAAACATTCATTCAGCACATACTCTGTGACAGAGATACAAAAACAAATGACAAAAACAGTCTGGTCCTCAAGGATCTTGCCATCCAATGGAGAAATAAATAGGAGCTGACAACTGTAAGGACTTTAGGGTTTGAGGCTAGAAAATCCCCCTCCCCCTCCTCTTCCTCCTCCTCCCCCAAAGGTAGAAGCCCAGTCGGCATTATTATTCTGATTTTATCAATGAGTGATCAGAGACATTAAGAGACTTAAAACTTGGCAAGCATCATGTAGGCCTGAGGCAGAGGCAGAATTGCAACTCTAGGCTCCCAGTCTCAGATTCCTGCACTCCAGTGACTACACAGCCATGCAACTCAAAATCTATAACTGTAAGACCAGAACTCATGTCTTAACCCCATTCAGGGAAGTGCCCCTCACTTTCCTGTAACTTTGGGCCACAATGAGCTGCTTCCAGCTAGGGTTTGGGCCTAGCTTTTTAGCTGTGGGATCTGAAGTTCTGTGCCTGAGTGGCCACACATTTCCCTTAGAGTAAGTGATGTTGTTCCTGGCTTATTAGGCCACTCCACAACAGCTGAGCTGCAATTCCTGCTCCACGGCATCATGGAATTAGAGCTGAAAGGCACCTCAGAGGTCAAGAAGTTCAACTCTCTCATTTACAGATGAGGAAACTGAAGTATAAAGACCACGCACATAGCTAGTGTTAACGCTGGAATTTGGACCCAGGTCTCCAGGTCCAGTACTACATCCTCTATGCCATATTGCCTTGTTCTGTATCTTTCCTTACCAGAAAATTTTGGCATCTTGCCTCGGGTCCTTCAGAGCTCCTGGGAATCTCCCATTTGGATTCATCACTTTATAACTTACAAGGCTCTTCCTCACATATATTAGCTAATTTGCTCCTTCCAACGATCCTCTGAAGTCAGGCAGGGATTATGCTCATTTTACAGAGGGAAAAACC